TCGGTAAAGTACATTTGGAGATATAGCCTTAGCGTGGGGTGACTTTAAGTTATTGTCGTGGAGTGTAGAACCGAAACGGTGCGCCGCGTTTCTTCTTGTCATTAACTCTCTTGGCCTCTCTTAATGATATGCGATGAATATGTAAGTGTGCCATGAATCTGAATGTTTTTTTTTTAAATTTTGAAATCTCACGTTTCTACGTTTCATGAAAATAATGCTGCAGAATTGCGAGATGTCATTTTTAATTATTTAGTATTTTGTTACCTTTTTTTGCAAAACTATTGAAAACATGCATTTCAACGAATAATCTTATGCAGATTACGATCGACAATAAATCAAGTCCGCAGAAAATTGGGGTTACCTTGTATTTAAGCGCCAAACGATCAGACAGAGACTTGTGTAGTACTACACTTTAAATTAACTGGCAACGGATGAAGTCATATATAAAGTAAATCTGGTAACAGACAAGATTGTTACCGCGTGGTAGCCAGTATTTTAAATACTATAAATTGCAATCTAGTCAATTGTTAACAAACGGTAAAAATTTTATCACATTGCAGTAATAATTTCGTCTGGGATGGAATTTATACGCGCCAAAATCACGTGCCCATTTGATTAACATTGGCGGCGGGCTGAAATTTGATTCAAACCTATCCGACTGAGATCCCGAATTAACAATAGGTATCGATTAGGTGAGCTGACTCATCGCCATTTAATGTATGGTGCGAAACAACCGTCATGAACATTGCATGTACAAAGCCGAACTTATCACTTCGCACTGCTACGTTAGCAGTGTAGCTTATCAGTAGAAATGATTGGTGTTGACGTTAGAAAGGATTTTGCGATTTTTAATTTAACTCAATTAAAACTTTCTGCATTTTATGTAGATTTTTAATTCCAGGTTTTATTCGGATTTTACTGCATAATTCACCACTCGGCCATCAATCATGCAGTACGTGCAAGACGAATTGGCACTGACACACATAAATTCTCATACTTATTTATATGAAAAACTACCAATGATGAAAAGAAGTTTTGATAGTAGCTAAAAGCATATTTGATGAGCATATTTTACACAACCAAAATATGCAGATCTTCATAATTTTTAAAATTCTAAAGATGAATTCAAACAAATAGGTTTCATTGTCCAATTAACACACGCAGTATCTATTACACCTCCCTCGTACATATCTGCTCACCATTAGGAAACTAATCATCTAAAAACTGGGTAATTTATACTGTTAATTTGAGCTGTTAAAATTTATTTTATGTACAAGCCCACAACTAAAGTAACAAGGTGGGTTACAACTATGCATCATCCACACACAAGGAGGTCATGCATACATACATAAATTCATACATACGGTCACTTAAAGAAATCCATCATTCTATCTATCGACCATCTAAATATTTATATGTTGGTGATCGTGGCAGTGCGTAGTGCTTTGTGGCGTATATACATATGCAAATGTTTATATTTTGAGACAAACCAAAACGCCATCGGGTTTGCGTGCTCCGTTGTGAAAGGAAAACTTTCTACACTTTTTTATTATTTATGCAGGTCTAAAATTTCGCCGAGTAAGGTTTTTGCGAAAGGTTTGGCCTTTCCATTTTTTTTCGGTCCTGATTCGCATCATCACTTTCCCCAACAAACCGACATATGTCTGTGCATATGTAAACTTTGGTCTGCTCAGCATGCAATATTTTCCCATTGGTAATGAACACTGCATAATTCATATGATTAAATATATCCATGTAATCAGTTATTCCATCCTACTCTATATTTATAAAGATTCGATGAGAACTACATATTTAGATATGAATTCAAATTATGAACATTCTTGTTTCTCTTCTTTCGAGGAAAATAATTATTTTTTCTCAATTTATATATGTACTTGTGAGTACACAGAAATTGATTAAGATTAAATTTTTTGATTAATCTGTGACCCCGAAGATAGGATAGCGTACACAAAAATTGTCATCATTTTTGAAAAAAAAATTGGGAACATGATAATGCCCATCAAACCACAAATCGCTCACATACCTGATCAACCGTCCCCAAAAAGCAATCTTGCAAGTTGGCTTTTTCAGTCGTTCACCTTCGAATGTTTGTCCAAACCAGTCCAAACTTTTCGAGTCGTGTAATTCAAACGTTCTCCTCGCTTAAATAAGTTTACATAAATCTATGTAACACATATTTCCAACGTTGCGCTGTTTGTCTTCGCAATTTTCTATATACATAAATACTTCGTGTCAAAAAGTGGGCTTTTTGCACAAAGCGATCTAATCTTGGGCAAACGAGAGTTCAAACTTTTAGAAAATCGTACTAATCCCGTTTAGACCTCGTTAATCCGTCCGATATGGAAAGGTTACCTTATTTAATTACGTTACGAAATTAAATATTTTTAATTAAGGTTACCTACCGATATGTTCTAAGCTACACAACGGAGTGCTATATATGTATAGTCGTTTGAAATTTAGCATCTCCATCCATTAACCGTAGCCTTGAGCAACATATATAAATGGTAAGGAAATTTATATGCAATTCTTAATAATCCACACTGTATAATTATATGCATGCAAATACATTTTGATATTTACATTCCCTAGGGACAATTAAAATCGCCAGGTCGACTGGCTCCACCCAAACGCAAATGGGATTATCAATTATATTATACCGGACAGGTATCTACATATAATCCGGCAGAATTTGGTTGCTTTGATTATCTTTCCCGAAAATTAATCTGCATCAATTACACAATATTTATTTCCTTTTAAAAAATGAAGCGGGAAATAAATTACGAACGAACCAAACTTTTACAATGCCTCTTCGTCACGTATTATCCGTTCGGGTATAAGCCACCCGTGCAGATAATTACTGAAAAGAACGGCCTCGTCTTCATTCAAACCACCCGCGGCAAATTTGCGAAATTCTTCTCACTCGTTTCAATCCTGTGTTTATCAGTAGCCTGGTTTTTTTGTGGGATTGCCCTCGTCATTGTGGCGTCAGAGAGCGAAACGTATTACAAAATGGCGTCGAATCCTCAAGTGTGGACGTGGTTTGTCGGCACTCTCCTCGCATTGTGTGGCACGATCGCGTACAAAGTTTGGATTGTCGACGGGGTCGATGCATCCGTGAAGATGGCGAACGAGCTGATCTCCTTGGAGCGGGAGGTGGTTACGGGTATGTTGTGAAAAGGTTGATAAATGAGGTATTATGAAAAATGGGGAAGATGCTGAATTTTTATACGTAGAAAAAATCTGCGTCCAGTGAAATTAATTACTTGACGCAGAAATTGAAAGGTATGCATCAAATTGTTACAGAAATATATACATAAATCGGGTTTTTTAAGCAACAAAATGGTTCTTTTGCGTAATTTTTCTCATACACGTATTGTTTTGTATAATGCTGAATGTGAAGATTAAAGGTAATGAGTATTGTATGATCCAAACTGTTTAAACCAGAGTGCTGAAGATACGCGGCCACATTTGGGAAAGTTTAACTGACGTTTGTTAAAGTGGTACAATTTGATTTTATGTGGTTTAGCATAACATTTTAGCAATGAGATTAATTTCACGAATATATAATTATGCAGCTTTACATATATACTAAGTTGCGCTTGTAGAGTATTAATTGGCCATCACAAGTAAAATTTATAAAAAGATCAAGTTTGCTATATTTTAATCTGATTTAGATTAAAACCATCTAGATTAATAAATTAATCAGATTCGTTCTAATAAATTATAGCTAGACGTTGTAAATATAAAAAATTGGTTAATGAGTGCAAAAGTATATACGAGTGGTTCCATGCACGCTTAAAAGTGTCAAGCCACAGTATAAAACCCTTATGTATACATAAGCATTCCGAAATTCAGAGCGCCAAGAGATACACAATTAACCTCGAAAATTAATCGTACTGTTTTTACATAATTTATTACAGAATTACCAAACATCCATCAAACTTGTGAATCGTCTTCCTCACGATTCCAACCGTCCAACTGGTTAATCTTCATCTCTTATTTTACCCCACCAATCCTGTTAATTTCTGCCATAATAGCAGGCGGCGAACCGTTTATTTTCATAGTAAAACATTTCCTAAAACTCGACCCCATCTGCAATCTCATTAACAAAACCTGGTCAAGGTTGCCCACCTATGGTAAAGCATTCCAAATTATTGTCACCCCCATAATTTTATGGCCAACGTATAATTTTGTTATGTACGAGTTAGTCAGAATTATGCTGTTCTGCTTTTTCGCTGCTGTTAACGTGGCTGGAAAAACTTTCTGTATCTTGGAATCTTTGCAGAAACGAGTACTACACAAAAATGGGGTATTTTTGCACAAGCAATGTTATTCCCGGGTTCGGATTATTTCCCAAAGCGTGGATTCTGCGGTAAAATTATCCGTCTTGCTAATGATCACATCTTTGGCAATGATAATTAGTACATCAGCGTTTATCGTGATTCGTCTGCATGGACAGTATTCCACCGGCATGTTGGTGATTGATGGAATCGGCGCGGTTGGATTTCTTTTCCTGGTCGATGTCCTGCTCACATTGTGTGGTCGGTGTGATTCTATGTGCCGAAATTATTTGCGGTGTTGCAAAAATCCAGAATTGCTGGGTGAAATGAGTCGTCAAGAGAGGAAGGTCTATCTAAGAGAGGTGGAAAGTCTGCCAAAACTGATTGTTGCTGCGGGCTTGGGTCAGTTTAGGTTGACCAATATAACCAAAGACAACAAGGCGATTTTGTTGTTCTATCTTGGTGAACACATTGTAAATGTGCTGATCGCGTTCTGAAAAAGTGATCCAGTAGGGGTATATGAAAAACTTCAAAAACAGTATACCATTGTATTTTACTGCCGAAATGATTGATTAGTATGCACATATATATGCAGCTAGATTCACGTGTAAATAAAAACCCGTAGATAGATACGTAAGATTTTATGAGTGCTGGATGAATCAACTAAAACATGTTTGGAAAAATATTAGCAAACATATGTAAAACATATTTGTATTTATTTTTAAATGGGGCTTGAATAAAGAATAAAGTACATGTATCCTCTCACGATCAATACTAATCTCAGTGAAGAAGGTACAAAATGGTGTCAGTTGACAGTTTTTTAATGCGTATTATTGGTTATAATAGTACATTGTTGGTTGGTGATTCATCCTCCATCAATGTTCTTTTCATATTGATGTTGAATGTATTTATTTTGCTTGCACTTGGTTTGTCAAACTTGTTGGTGTCATCATTCCAGAAGAGATGCAAATGTGGTTGTAGAACAATTAAGATTGGAGGTAAAAACAATTGTGTGTTGAAACAGTGTGCTTGACCGAAGGGCAATTGCACTAAAATGGCAGACACTAAAATTGAGTTGCAGGGAATTTCTGACGATCTTCAATCCCACATAGGCAAAATTGGGAAAATGGTTAATTATTTATTAATTTTGAATCCGTAAAAAGTTTATCTGTATATGAGATGAAGAAATTAACCTTGTATACTTGGAAACAACTTGTCTTTGGTGAGATATCGGACTATACCGCAAAGTTACTTCTTTCCCGAATTTTATACGGATAACTCCCACGTGCAATGGCAATATAAATACGTGAATGCAAGCTTGACTATGGATCATAGAGGAAGCGTCAAATATTTAAGTGAGAAACAAACTGTACAATTATTCTAGTCCCAAGTTCCAACAACACAAATTCGTGAGCTGCAACAACAGCAACCAGACGCAAGCTTGAGTAAGATAAATCCTACCCGGATCTTACATAGCTCTATTAGGATATAAATATTCCTGTTATCGGTTCTCCAGTTTGGTGGGGACCTTACTTTCACTATTCACCCACACGAGTTGTAATATAAGCATTTTCAGATTTTCGACTGAGACAGATTGATCCATTCTCTTATTAATTTTATTACGGGTAAGAGATAGAGAAAAAATTTATGACATATTCTATAAACCTGTTAGGAGCTTTAATAGTGATGAAATAAATTGAAGGACTGCTTTGAAATTCTGTTATCTTGTGTTCAGTCGATTACATGTCTTAATCTTTGAACGTTCTAGAAAAAATTTAGTAATTTATGCAAGATTAGTTGTGTTCTTCCAGCTCAATAATTAGATACGGTTTGTGAGGAATGTAGACATCGAGTAGCTCCAACTACATTTGTGAACATATACCTATGTGATCAGGTCTACCATATGGTAATTAGTTTTGAGTCATTTACACTTATTTTTCGACCATGGACCTTCAAACCCATTTTGCTCTTTTCGTTGGTTGAGCAAGGCTTGATCTTGTTTGATTCATTGCAGTTGGACATGGAGATTACATTATGCATGCCATTGTAATTTGAAACTTGGTGGTTGACGTCATCTTAATGGTGGACTACAACTCATCTTCGTAGTCAGTGAATCTATGAACGGTACGCGTGTCATCTTTTCATGTAGTTACTGGTTGTCGCACTGCTGGTTGGAGCAAGCTAGAGATACAGTGGGACATGAAATGGTAATGCTAGCTTTGTCCGATAAGGAACAATTGATATGGTTGCCATTCCTGAAATCCAAAACTACTTACAACTTTTTATCCGTCTATAACAATAACACCGTGACAATCTCCAGGGTGACATAAAAATTTAAGAAACAAGTTCCTGACCTCATAAAAATACAGAAGTATCTATAGTATTACAATTTCTTAAATCATGTGCCAATTATATGATAGTTCAGTTTAGATTGTTACCTCGCAGGAGTAGTATTTAGTCCTTAAAGTTAGCCGGATAATAATATAACCCAATTATGCATAATCCATCCAGGACAGGTAGAATTTCATCTCATACAAAATGAAAAACAAGACCAACAACTTGATTTTTGACATGGTAGGTGAGCTTGGGGACATCGGAGATCAGGGATATGAAAACTTTTACTAGATGCTTCGAGAACTACAACACACATTTAATTTGGGAATTTTCACGAAAAATTAATATCCCATAAGCTTGGATTACTTACCTTTCGAATAATTCAGTCTATCAATAACAATTAGCACTGTATGCCGGAACTAGAAGAAAAAATATTGGGAAAATTGATAAATAAATATAAAATAATATTTCCAGATTAAACAAGTCAACCCACATACATCGTTACATATGTATCTCACTTTCATAGGTATCGTGTGGCTTGACGTAACCTTAAATATTCACCTGAGCATACACATGAACACAAATATGTACTAACCCCATTATTTACTTGACGTCAATTTTCAACAATAGTCACTGCTAACTAACAATGCGAAGGTTTCAGTGGGTTATCTCATATTTCGACCGGACCAATTTTAATAAGTCCATTGTAAATAACTAGATGTTTTGTTTTAGTGCTTGGGTGAATGCGCTAATTTAAATAAGTTCTAAAGGCCAAAAGTTTGACAAAATGCATGAGTTTTAACGTGCGAGAGGTCACGAAATTTTCAATTTCACTCCTCCGCTCAACACTGTCGACTTACATTTTCTCTCCCTAGCTTAGGCTTCACTCAAAGTGGATTATTAATGGATAATTATTGTCATTATTAATTTCGTGAATTGAACACTATTTGCATTAAGTCCATAAGTGGGGACCAATGAGCAATGTATAGGTGGTAATGAACCACATATTCGTACACTGTGTAGTATGTTATTGAATACGAGGGACGGATAATTCCTCAAATTAATGCTGCCCATCAGGTTACTTTTGCGATAATCGGTTTATCAACAAACCAAAATGCAAATCAGATAACCTATTTAATTTTCTCTCCAATAGGAAACCGATGTGATAGTTGGCCCAATTGATAAAAAAATCTGTTTAAAAAAATCTGCAAAATTGTATTGCTTAGGCTAGCAGGCCTGGAAAATTAATTACAACGCTGGTATAGGATTTTATAGATAAAATATTCTTGTTCCAGAGGCTCAAAATAACAAAATTATATATTTTTAAATATGGTAATTTTTCTATTTGTCATTATTGTTTATGTTTACTTGATACTTATTTTTAGGAGGCCAATAATTGGCCTTCTAAAAAGTCATGTTAATTAGTAACCTGAATATAATGAAGAATGACGAGTGAGAACATCTTCAGAAGTTGCGGGAGAAGCAGTGGAGTGCAAATGAAACCTTGGAGATCTACCGCACGTTAAAAATCAATCATTTCTTAGAACTTTTGGTCTTCATAACTTATTTAAATTAGCGCATTCACCCAATCACCAAAACAAAACATCTACTTATTATTGACCATGGACATCTCAAAATTGGCCTCATCGCAATCTGAGATAACCCACTAACACCTTCGCATTGTAAGTACATATTTACATTTGTACCTTTGATTACTTTGATACATATGTAAATCAAATTTGCATACACAAAATAAGTAATTATGTATCTAATTCTATTGCACCCATTGTAATGCAAGTCTTATGAATTCAGACTTTTCATAAATTATTGCCAGACGTAAAACGATATTCATTATTCCAGCCATACAAATTCTCATGTTTGTCATAGCGCACATTTAAAAACTGTCTCGCTCGCTGTTTCGAACTTAACATTCGTCTCGAACGGAGTGCAGGATATATTGAAAATTAGGATAGGATTGGACATATTAAAATTCAGGAAGAAAATTCAATCATGAACCAGCATTTCGCAAGTTTGTGTTCCGTTATTTTATTCCTTGGGCAGGTATGTAACCCTACCAAAAGAACGTGCATTTTTAAAGATGTTCATAAGTTTGCACAAAATAAACTGACAGGGATCAACAGCCTTGGGCGGATGCTCAGATGATTCCACTTGTACGAGTTTGTGTGGCTATGCAGGTGCTGGCAAATGCGTAAATGGGACTCACTGCGTTTGCGAGACATGCCCACACAGAAGTGTATGTGTATTAGTAATAAATTAATTCTTGGTTTAATAAAAACAGGCTAAACATCACTTTCAATATGTATTTAGTTTGCTGAACTCGTGAGCGTAGCCGAAACATGTGTTCCGGAACCATTATGCCATTTGAGGTGTCCAAAATCTTCCTTCGCAATGGGAACAGCTGGGAGGCTGTACGTAGGACATATCTGCGCCCCTGTCAAGAAGCCGTGGGATAGCACGTGCATCTGTTTTTGCATGCCGCCAGATTTTGCCAGTATCGGAACTGTGCTGAGATGCCCAGTGCTTCCAAATATTAAACCTTCATTTGGATAAGTAGCGCTCATGCAGCTGTCTTCCGAGCATGTCCAATCTTTTGTCAACTATTCAATTATCAATTCGTTATACCCCAGCATTGTAGGTGTACATATACGCATATGTACATAGTAGGTGAATTTGGAAGTGCAGACTTGTAAAATTCTATATCAAGACGTGTGCAAATAAAAACTATGCAATGAAGTAAATAACGAAGTACAATTTATTTACGAATTATAATAGTACTTTGCTACTATGCAGCAATATTAATGCATAGATTGTACACTCTAAGAAATGTGGTAATAAATCTTTACGAATTACTACACTGCCGTGTTCCACCTCAAGGCCTTACGTTTTTGTGTGAACCAGCTTGGGCACGAACTAAACCCTGCTCGCGGTGGTCGTTCCCGGCAGAACAGTGCCGTGCTCTTCTCTTTCTCTCTCTGTGTGTTTCTTTCCCAGCAAGTGAAACTCGACCACACACAAGTTTAACTTGCTGGTGAGTAGTCGTGTTGGTTGGTTGCGGCAACCAAAAAATTAAATAACTAATTACTTGATAAGTTGGTTGTTGTTATTATTGTTAGCCCACGCATTAGGAGATTAAATCCTTCTTCCATATGGGTTAATAATAATAACAGTGAGAAATGAGCACAATATAAGTCGAAATGGCAAAGTTTGTGTGCTTATCGAAACCCGCGATATTGTCGCTGATAAGCAATCTAGTGACAATTTTTGAGCTTATTTCTTAGTTTGATCATAAAACATGAGGGCCTTTTTAAAATGAGCACAATATAAGTCGAAATGGCAAAGTTAGTGTGCTTATCGAAACCCGCGATATTGTCGCTGATAAGCAATCTAGTGACAATTTTTGAGCTTATTTCTTAGTTTCATCATAAAACATGAGGGCCTTTTTAATATGAACGCTTTCTAAAATTTTGAATAATTGTTAGACATACGCCACTGATCTGACCAATATTCCCGAAAAACGGGAACTTATTTGTTTCCCCATAAGCAGCAATGTTAAAACTGCCTTCAGAAAAATCGCGATTACTCACAGTCGCAGCAAATTCGCAACGTGGCTCAAATTTTAGAATTTGTATGAGGTTAAGGGGCATCGGTTCATTATTGTCGCAAGTTGCGAATTTTGTGCGACTAGGAGCTAATTGAATTTTAAAAAAGAGTTTTAAGCATTATAAAATATAAAATTTTTGGATTTTTTCAAATTTTTCAATTTTATCTATCCAAAAATGACATATGCATGCATTTCGCAAATACAAAGCATCCCTTGTGACGCATGGTTTACTATGGTACGTGTATTTAAACGAGAGCCAATTCTTGCTGAAAGGTGAGTTGGCCGACCTTGTAATGCCTAATAACATTGCGGATTCAAATTAACGCTACTCGATCAATTGTCGACCGATTTTCAAAATTCCGAGTGTTTTGAAGATCTTGAACCCTTGCGCGAAATATATATTCCCAGATTTTTTAAATATGACCACACCCCCCATAAATTAAGGTCACAAGGTCAAAAAACATGAAAATATTTATTACATTAAATAATCAAATTTCGACGCACAAAACTCGAGGAACGTGTCGACAAAGATATGTCGACACACATGCCTGTCAAATTCGCCCCGGGTCACACCCCCACGGGGTGCGGTCTACGGCGTCTTTTCCATTTTGATAAAAACATATCATGTGACATATCATTTTTCTAGGCCAATTAAGGCGAATTTAACACCGTTCTAAGAATTTTGAAACCACACCCCCCTGGGGGTGTGGTCTACGGCGTCTTCTCCATCTTCATGAAAACATATCAAGTGACATATCATTTTTCTCTGCAAGTCAAGGCGAATTTAATACCGCTATATGAAGTTTGAAACCACGCCCCCTGGGGGTGTGGTCTACGGCGTCTTTTCCATTTTGATAAAAACATATCATGCGACATATCATTTTTCTCTGCAAATCAAGGCGAATTTAACACCGCTATAGGAATTTTGAAACCACACCCCAAAGGGGTGCGGTCTACGGCGTCTTTTCCATCTTGATGAAAACATATCATGAGACATATCATTTTTCTCGGCCAATTAGGGCGAATTTAACACCGTTCTAAGAATTTTGAAACCACACCCCCCTGGGGGTGTGGTCTACGGCGTCTTCTCCATCTTCATGAAAACATATCAAGTGACATATCATTTTTCTCTGCAAGTCAAGGCGAATTTAATACCGCTATATGAAGTTTGAAACCACGCCCCCTGGGGGTGTGGTCTACGGCGTCTTTTCCATTTTGATAAAAACATATCATGCGACATATCATTTTTCTCTGCAAATCAAGGCGAATTTAACACCGCTATAGGAATTTTGAAACCACACCCCAAAGGGGTGCGGTCTACGGCGTCTTTTCCATCTTGATGAAAACATATCATGAGACATATCATTTTTCTCGGCCAATTAGGGCGAATTTAACACCGTTCTAAGAATTTTGAAACCACGCCCCCTGGGGGTCTGCGGCGTCTTTTCCATTTTGATAAAAACATATCATGTGACATATAAGTTTTATCTGCAAGTCAAGGCGAACTTAACACTGTTATAAGAATTTTGAAACCTCAATCCTTGGGGGTGTGGTCTACGGCGTATTTTCCATTTTTCTGAAGACATCAAAAACATATCACGTGATATATCATTTTTATGAGCAAAGGAAGGGAATTTTTGCAGTTTAACTAAAAGAAATTAAACCACGCCCCCTGGTGGGGGTGGTTGTTAGCGACTTTTACATTTTCACAAAAAATATATCATGTGACATATCACATTTCTTAGTAAACAAAGGCCAACGTAGCTGTTTAACTATAAAAAATTAAACCACTCCCCCTGGTGGGGCGTGGCTATTAGCGACGTCTGCATTTTCACTAAACATATCAGGTAATGTATCATTTTTCACAACAAAGCAAGGTAACTTGAACAACTCAAAATTTGTAAAATTTTCAAAATTTGCGATTATTCTACAATTTTTCGACATTTTGTAGAAAATCGCGAAATTGAACAAAATTTTACAAAATACTCAAAATTCTGTAAAATTTAAGAAAACTTTTCAAAATTATTAAAAATTTCACAAAATGGGCAAGATTTTGAAAATTTTTAAAATTGGACACGCTTTTTTAAAATAAATAAAATGATGAAGGGAATGCCCTTTTTATGCCCCGCCCTTGACCTCAATGATGAGCAAGGCTACAGCGGTGGTCGACCTCTACACTCGAACCAATTCCCGCAGTTAAGCGCTCGCCACATCGTCAGAACTTGAAGTAAGTGATTTTGACACTGAAATTCTTTAATTTTACTTCATATGTCATGCATTGTGCATGTTTTTATTGTAGGAGGGCTTTAGTCACCACGGTAGTATTCCTGGTAAGTTGTAACTTATAATGCATGTGATACTCGTATAAAACTCCAATCTTGATGGGACTAATTTAATTTTCTTCACCCGAAAAAATAACTGGATCCGAATTTCTTTCCGAATTCGCACATTTGAACGCGTGGTAGCTATTTGAAATTATTTTTCATGCAAAAATATAGGGTATTCAGATCGCTCTAACTATTTGAATTCTGCATGTGATTTGGATGTGAATATCTGATTTTTATCAGTTTTTGGAAGTCTGAAAATTCGAAAAACACTACAAAATTTCAAATTTTAAAAAAATTATGAAAACTTATACTGCGACCGATAAAACCTCGCGAGTGAACATTTTTTAAGATATCTCGTGACAATGATAAGATATCTTCTTGAGTTTTTGAGGCATACTTCATCTAATTCCTTGTCACATTTTTGCAAATATTAATGCAAATTGGGATGTTATTACTGAAGTTAATAAAACTAAATCGATTTTAAGGTGACCGCTAAAACCTCGCGAATTTTAAATTTTTATTTGTAGAATACTCTATTTATGGCATTTTGAAATGACGTTTTATTTCAGTATTCTGTGCGGCTATCCCTGTTACAAGTTGACGAAAAAATTCGGTTTTCATTTATGCTCATGCTTATTTATAACGCTTATCGGGGTAGCCTCCCATGAATCAAGAATGCCTTGGTTAAGGTCAGTCAGTGCTCGGCATGGGTTCAGAAAAGTCGAACCCGCACCCGAACCCGCAACCGAACCTGACACAGAGACCAACGTGGGTTTGGGTTCGGGTGTGGGTTCGGGTTCGACTTTGTAGAACCCGAACCCGAACCCGAACCCGCCGGGTTCGAACTCGGGTTCTGCTCCACCAGTATGTTAAATAGCTTGAAGATCAAGTAATTAATGCCTGGCATTATTTATTTGGTAAAATAATTTATTCAAACAAACAATGGAATATAAATTATGTCTGTCATTTAAGTTAAAGGAGATTACTTTCCAAACATTTTTTCAACTATAGCGTCGGTGCTTTGTTTCTTAATCGCTTCCTGGTTTTTGCTTGTTACCCACCCTTTGAGACACATGCATTTTCTGATTGTGGACGGACGGAGTGAGCACCTTCTTGGTGCAATCAAATCAGGTCCTCCAGAAAACAACCTCTCAACTGGTACACCGGTACCGGAGACTGCAAGAAAGTCTCTCGCCATTTTAGATAAAGTTGGGAATCTATATTCATTGGCCTGAAATGCGAACGGAAATTATGAAAATTGTATTCATTCACCCAACTCAGGTTCCATAAATTAGTCAGCATACCTGCCACCACAATAAGACACTCCCAAATTCACAACTTATTGGTTTTTCGTCTAAATACGTTTGCAGCTCATCTCGATTCTCTGACTGTGGCTTCTTATTTTTATTCATTAGCTCATCAAATAAATCATTGGAGATATTTTTCTTTTTATTGTCAAAATAGGACGCTGCAGAGTTCTGACGTTGACAAGTTGGCTCGATTCTTCCCAAAATTGGCTTGCATTTCGACTCCCAACATTGCTTTACTATTCTAAAACAAGGAAGAACTATCCGGCTAATTTGATTTCAAAATTATGATTACCCATATCGGAATGGGTCTGCATTTTGATATTTTAACTTACCTACGATATTCCTTTATTATTGGCTTTTCGAAGCATGCACGATTATACCATTCCATTTTACAACGAGGATCTAAAACTAATAAAATGAATTAAAGCAAAAAAGGGCCAGATATTTGTACGCACTTATTGCAATACTATAAATAAATGTTTTTCTACCTGTTCCAACTACATATACCAGTCCATCTGAAGTTGGATAATATTTGTTTAATTTATCATACGCCTGCTTGGCAGCCACTAAGATCCACTCTGAGTGTGTATTATCATTCTGGAATTAAATAAATGCCATTTATATTTAATATTTTGATATATCTGCTGCCACCTAACCGAGTAATTTTCCAGGTGGTCATACAACTTTTGATAAATTAAGGCTGACAATGCCATGGTTGGAATTACGCCCTCCTGAAGATAATTAGTCGTCTTTTTGAACGGCTATTCAGTATAAAACGTTTAAGTCACAGAATACAAATATTGCGGTGTTGAATTTATATGCGTTATTTTCTTACCTTTAAAAAAACAAGCATTTCTTGGACCTTCCCCCACTCGTCCTCCGCAAGTATTAGTAATGCCAACTTTTTGTCATTCCTGAGTGTGTTTTCAAATGGCTGAAAAATATTGTTAAATGCGAGTAAATGTATTAAAATATAACACAACTTAAAAATATATAAATAACTTTTACTCACAATACGAATTTTAATGCCCTGTTCATCATTTTGTATAATGAATTCCAGCGTGTCGCATTTTCCCTAATAAGTTCTTTGTGCCTAATTCCAGCTACGTGGCAATGCTGCGCAAATTTCTCTCTTCTCTCGACAGATTTACGTATTTTGATTACCCCTTTAATAAGCTATTAATTAAAATTTATATAATTAAGCTTATTGTTATGAACATCGACAAGCAAAAAGTTTGATTTAACAATAGTACACTTTGCGGAATTGAATACTCACCTTTTGAAGAATAGAACCAGTCGGAATTATGTCGCCGTAGTCCTGGTGCAAATTATTCTCGTCTTCGTCTTCATCCACCTCGGACTGATCTGATGAATTGAATTTACTGGGTTTCCCAACTTTAAGAAATGCAATTGCGTCCTTACATGCAAGGTTGATTATGTGTGCTAAACATCTCACCCTTTGATTCTCAATGTCAAATTCAATGCCCTGAAATGTTTCATGTTCGTATTAATTTAAGTAAACTTGGAGCATATATAATTGTAAAAAGGAGATTCTGAAAACCTTAAGTTCAAGCTGCATCTGAATGTTTGAGAAAAAAGTATCACAATTGGACGCATTGTCAGTTGTGATCGCCAGAATACGATTGTGCAAGTCAAATTCCTTTAAAATATTCATAAATGACGTCGCCAGGGTTTCGCCGGTGTGAGATCCATGAAGGATATCCAAATCCAAAGGCAATTCGTTCAGAGTCCAATCCTTGCCAATCCAATGCATCATTACGCCTTGAAACGCAACCTGCGTTTTCGACGTCCAAACATCCACCGTAAAAGAAACTTTTGATTCAATTGACTGTAAGTGGAAATTAAACGTTAAATATTAATTATTACTTGCAATCCTAATAAAAAGTTCATTACTTGTATTAAATTTTTTAGGTTATTCTTTTCTATATCGTAAAGTTCTGTGATCCGTCTTTTAATTGTGGTGGCGCTAGGTAATTGTGTCTTGGGATTGCATTTATATATCATCTCAATAAAAGATTTTTCTTGAACTAAAGTGAATGGTTGGCTAGAAAGAAGAATGAAGTTCACGAGAGATTTCTCAAACTCTTCTTGTGAATATTTGACCTGTTAAAACAAATTTTAGAAAATAATGACAATTTACTAGGATTCTAAGTATGCTCTGAATATTTGAATATTTACCTCTTTGTCAACAGAATACGTAAATTGTGTGATTTTGTTTTGTGACTCGATATTATTCGCATGTATTGTGGGGTGTTTTCGCTTGATGTGCCTTCCAAGATTCGAGGTTGAGCCGGACTTGTCTGCTTTCATAATATTTCTGCAGATAATTATTCGAAATTTTATTAAAAAAGAGTCAGAATTATAAGACACAGTCCACAATAACACACAAATGTTGTTTGATGCCTGAAATGTGAAATTTGTTATTTACCTGCAGTGAATACACATAAACCCATTTTCTGTGTTGTCCCACTCGAAATGTACATTCAATAACGATTTCTTCAATTTTAACGTCCCTATTTCTTCGGCACCACGTTGTGCTATTTTCCGTTTCTTAATCCTTTGATCTTCCTCATCGTCATCAGATATGATCTGAATGTCGTTGTTGCCATAATCGGCGCTTGTACCACTTTTTGGTACTGATTCAGACATTCCTGGCCTTAATTTGATGTATGAATTACTGTAAATAAAGTTCGCCTAAATAATCAAGAACTGACTGAGCAAATGAAACTAACATGCCTTACGCACGGAAGCGGAATACAATGGAAAGAGAGTACGTGTCGCGCCACTCTGTCATCTGGATTTGCACTCTATGGATGAATGAGAACCCAGGTTCGAATTCGGGTGCGAACTCGGGTTCGCGGGTTCGACATAGTTTGCACCCGAACCCGATATAATCAGGTTCAATTTTTGTGCACCTGAACCCGAACCCGCACCCGAACCTGAACCCGGTACTCGGGTTCAAACCCGAACCCGTGCCGAGCACTGAGGTCAGTCACGGTCGAATATTGTTGATTATTGGCGTTGACCTGACGGGATAGGTTTCCCCAAATATTTTGGACGGGATTTAGATTTGGGCTTCGTGATGGACAGGGTGGAACGTCGACCTTGTTGTCTACCGACCTTTTCATTGAAGATCTTGATGCATGAAAATGTACATTATCGTGTTGATACACCCACTTTTTTTCTTCCGACCGTCATTTTAATAATTAATAAGGTTTGTCAGAACTTCCTCACCTTCAGTGGCGGTCACCTCAAAATCGATTTAATTTTAATAACTTGAGTGTTAATATCCTAATTTGCATTAACACTTGCAGAAATGGGGCACACTATTAGACGAAGTATGCCTGAAAAAGTCAAGAAGATATCTAATCTATATTATGAGATATCTTAACAAATGTCCACTCGCGAGGTTTTACCGGTCGCAGTGTAGTATTTAGAAATACAGAAAGTAATGCTGAGCATGCATGTTTCGACGTTTTTGAATTCGCAGAAAAATTCGTGTCCGGTAATTTTTTAGAGTGGCCAAAGTAAAATTGGTCCCACCACCATGATCGGAGTTATCCATGAGGAACACTTTCATTGTTATAAGTCAAATAATTTACAAATATTTTAATATTTTTACATATGCGAGGGTATGATTGGCACCAATGGAATGATGGCATTAAAAAACTCGACAGTAATTTCTAACACGATTCTATTGTGCAATTAAATGGTGATATTTGCGTAGCATTATCTTAAACATGCACTGTGATAGATCCTACCGGAAAAATCATATTTTGAATACCTGTCTGAAAGCGACTCAATTTGCAATTTCATTCTTCACAACTCAATGCCTTTTGCCAGTTGAGACATTTATTAAGGGTAGCGCGCAGTTCAAAGGAGATGGATTCTGGCTGACCAGGTGGCTGGTTTAGAGGCTGACCTTTCTCAATAAAATATTTCCTTCAGATATTCAGTATACGCAAATACTAATATTAAGTCGGGCATTGCATTTTTTATTACATCCTACCCAGAGTGCTAATAAATACTTCCAACTGATGGCTCGTGGAAAGGAGTTATCCGTGGGTGAGAAGGGAATGGTTGTTAGAGTATTAAAATACTTTAAGGATCAAAAGAAATTATTTTGGAAGCAGCCCAGGACAGGTAAAAATAGATTTATTTCTTTTTGTTGTCATTAATTTTGATATACGAAACCTCTTTGTCAATAGTGGCGTGGAATATAGTCAAAAAATTCCGAAAAAGGGTTGCTGACGTTCTTGGAATATCTCCAGCAACGGTCACAAGATGTGATGCAGAGGAGAAATCACTGGGAAAATCTATTCCGCCACGAAAGAAAGGAAATTCTGGAAGGTAATTTGTGATCAACAAATATCAAAACATCAAAACTGCGTAATATTTACCTCTGATAACTGGAAGGAGCAATATATAATATTAATACTCTTTCACAGAAGACAAATTTTCGTGGACAGCTTTACCGAAGGTGTGATCAGGCGAAAGATATTGGAGGGGTATACTAACAAAAAGTTTTACACCATACGGGCACTGCATCAAATCTTGCAAGAAGACCCGAACTTCCCTAGGATAAAAAGCTACAAGACTTTACACAAGATAATGACAAAGCAATTGAAATTTAAATTCGTCAAGTTTCACTCCAAACCGATCCCCTTCGAACGACACGACGTCCAGCTTGCACGGCATTCCTTCCTGAAGAACATCAGGGAGTTTCGTCGCCAGAATTATAATGTAAATATGTTACAAATCATCCGTGATGTTTACTTTTTAGCCCGAGTCAGGGCTTATGGAACCGTCATGTCTGTCCGTCCGTCTGTCCGTCTGAGACACGATAGAGCCAAAACGGCTTAACCGATTGACTTCAAATTTTCACCATATGTGTATGGGGTGAAAATACAGGTCAAGTTCGTAAATGAGCCAAATCGGTCAAGTGGTTGACCGGTGGGGGTCATTTAGGTGGTGGGGGTAATATGCACTAAAACTTCAAAATCGTGCTAGAGACCTGAAATTGGTCACACATGTCGCCAATGGGTTCAAATTAGAGATTCTGACTTGAAATTGCAAAAAATTTCATGCAGACGTACCCTAATGGGTCACCCATACCGGTTTTTCAAAATCGTCGTAGAAAGCTGAAATTTGGCACACATGATGCATATGGCTTCTGCCGAAAAATTCTGATTTTAAATTGTAAAAAAATTCATGCAGACGTACCCTAGCGGGTCACCCATACTGGTTTTCCAAAATGGTCATAGAAAGCTGAAATTTGGCACATAGAATGCATATGGCTTATAGGGAAAGATTCTGAAGGCAAATTACGAAAATTTTCATGCAGACGTACCCTAGCGGGTAACCCATACCGGTTTTCCAAAATAGTCATAGAAAGCTGAAATTTGGCACACATGATGCAAATGGCTTCTGCCGAAAGATTCTGATTTTAAATTGTAAAAAAATCATGCCGACGTACCCTAGCGGGTCACCCATACCGGTTTTCTAAAATGGTCATAGAAAGCTGAAATTTTGCACATAAAATTCAAATGGCTTATAGGGAAAGATTCTGAAGAGAAATTGCAAAAATTTTCATGCAGTCGTACCGAAGCGGGTCACCCATACCGGCTCTTCAAGATGTATGGAAGAGGGTGATATTTGGTAAAAGGGTGACGAGCATTTGTATTTCAGGAAAATTTTAGCTAGAGGAAGCCAATCGGGCACTGCTTTTTTCTAAATAAGTATAGATGGGACTTCCGTCATGGAATTTTGCTAAAGGCTTTGGAAACCCATTGTGTCAATTGACCAAAATTCAGAAGAGGGTACTCTTGGTCAGGGTCAGAGACCCTGACTCGGGCTAAATCAACACTGCACACTGTAGGTTTTTATGTATGTAAAATTATCAACCAAAAATCTTCAAATTTATAGATATTCTACACGGACGAGACCTGGGCAAATGAAAGTCAATCGCCTTCGAAAGGGTGGCACATACCAGACTATGAAGTATTGGGGATGTCTGGCAATAATGCCACTCACGTGGATCAGTGGTTAAAGGGCGTTGGGCGAAGATTCGCCGATGGATTAATTGGTAATATAAATTTGCCTATATCCTAGAGATCTTGTTCAATCCCGGATTAATGGTTGGGCGTAGGATTAGAGTTAGGGAATAATTATTCTTAATCGAAACCTTTCATCCCATCCCGAGCAACAACCCAGGTGCAGATTAAATACAAAATCACGCCACCCTTTCGGTGCAGACATAAAAACATTTCATGTAACGATACGGTACTGATTTCGGGTGGTTGGTAACCAGCAGGTGAAATTTAATTACCAAAATTTCGTTACCAAATCGGTACCGTTTTCCCAGTGACACACATATATTAGAATGGCACCAAAATTTAAGATACCCGTTTATGTGATACCGAGACCTCACCTAATTCTCTGTAAAGATTTGGTAATGAAATTTCGGCACTCAAAACGGGCATGGTGGGTACCAACTACTCGAAATCAGTACAGTATCGTTACATGAAAAGTGTTCATATCTGTATCGAAAATATACAGGTAATTTGTTTTTCGGGAAATGATTGTCATTTAATACTCAATCCTGATCTGCGTTTCAGTTGATACAATTTAATCCCAACCTATTATTGAAATAGGCAAAAAACTGGATAAAAAACATAAAATGCTTAATTGGCATAAAACAACTCAATGCAAGGTTGAGAAATATAACTTCATTTGTAAGCAAAGGATTCGTGGTATGAAACTTTAACTCTGAATTGAATGAATTTCTGTAGTTGTTCCTCATCTTTTATAATAGTTCTTCACTTCAAACTAAATTTCTACGAAATTTCCTGAATTAACAAAGTGGGAGTTTAAAACATTTAAGTTGGACTTATCAGGGCCACGTAAATACTAATCAATGTTATTAAGCATGAAATTCAGGAGTTGACGCGCCACATTTAATCCCAAGTTGCACCTTAGCCGGGAATCAATTTAAACCTGAAATTTAATTCCTGACCGCCAGATTTAATCCACAAACACCTCTTGGATAGTTGGTTTTAAACCGGTATTACGACAAATTTTATAATTTTTTCAAAAATTGTCCAATAACATTCAAGGTATAGCATAATCAATGCATTAATTATTGAACAAAAAATAGCCAAGTGCAACTCGTTCTTACATAGAAACCAACAAATCTTAAATTGTAGCTCCGGAACAATTTTTATTAGAACAAATCGGAAACCGGTTTCAGAGAGTAATAAAAGCGGGTTTGTACAAAGTCGGTTGTACGGAAAGATGAAAACCGGTTTTCGGTTTATTCGAAAACCAGTTTTTAACCGGTTTTACAAAATGGATGGCCTAATGCGCATACTCCTTCTACTTTGCTTAGGTGGGGTAACTGGAAAGCCGTGTTGTGCAGGAAAGAGGGTGATAATTGTCGGAATCGGTTCGAAAAGTGGGTTCTTGGCTTCAAAATTCTTTGGCGGAAAGAAAGATAAGAAGAATCAAGATTATCATACCGAGATGAATGCGAAGCACTTTGTGGAATGGTTCGGGGAAGTGTTAAAGGTGATGCCTCCAAAATCTGTGGTCGTAATCGATCAGGCGAGCTACCACAAGAAAATTACCGCGGAAACCCGAAATCCCACTAC